GCGGGGGAGGGGGGGGTCATCATGGGGTTGCGACAGGGAGGGAGGCAAACCCGAATCAACTACAGGGGGCTGGTCGGCCAGCGGCGACGGCAGAGCCCGTTCGTCTTCCACAACCTGTAGAGAGGGGGCTGCTGTGGGGGGCTGCGCTGCGCTCGGGCCGGGGACTTCATTTTGGGACCGGAGGACGGAAGAGCGTGGAGGGGAAGGGGGGCTCGGATCCTGGTCCATGGTGTGGGCCGAGGCATCTCCCATCCCACGTGTAGCCCCGAGGGGTCGCGTACGCCCATAGCGTTTGAGCCGCTCCTCTCGCGCAGCCGCCTCTTCAGCATCCCGCTTGGCCTTCAGACGGTCGACCAAGGACCCAACGTTCTGGATGGGAGCGTCAGTCACCAGCCCCTGCGCCAAGAAAGCCAATCATCAGAGAGGATTGACTTACACGTTTGAGAGAAAAGCAAGCCATGCAGCAATGAGGCTTGCAACCCTACAACGCTCCTGTTGCCAGCAAGGCCGCATGTTTGACAGCACTTGGAACTCAGCTTCAGAAGAAAGCGCTCTAACTACACCGGGCTGCTTGCCAACATAAAGACAAGCCTAACTGCATCTCCAAATCAGCTTGAGTACGGCCCCAAATAAGCCCAAACCAGCCCCAAGCAAACCAACAAAACGCGGAACCAGCCTGACCACGGCAAAACTAAGCAGCCTGACCACGCCCCCAAAAACAGTTTGCCCCAAAACCAGCTCCGAAACCAGCCAAACCAAGGGCAGAGCAGACCCGAAACCAGCCTGATTGTGGCACAAAACCAGCCTGACCAACGTGGTCCCCAAGACCAACTTGAGCGGCAGCCCCGAAAACCAGGCCCATGTGCAGCAGACCTGAAACCGACCTAACCGCGCCCCCCAAAACAGCCTGCCTGCACCCCCTAATCAGCTTGACTACGGCCCCGAAACTAGGTGCCCAAAGCAGGTCTACCCAACACCAACCCAACCGCGCCCCCAAAAGCAGCCAAGGTCTGGTGGAGCATTGAGGTTGAAGTCAAAAGTCGCACATGCTTATCAAGCAACGTCAATAGCAGCAATCAATGGGGACACAAAAAAGTCTACTCCGGCCGCTGCAGATGAGAGTATTCTTCATGGCAACTTACCGGGGGGGAAGCACAAGACGGGCCTTCGAAATCACCCAGCTCCGTTTGATGAACGGCTTGCCCCTCACGCTGTGTTCTTGAGGGCCTCAACGCCCCCACAGCTTGGAGATGCGCTGCCACAGCCGCTCGACCGGCATCCCGAGCCGCCTCGTCCATGGGGACAGGGTTCGCCCTTGCCTTTCTGCTGAAAATGCGCAAGAAGAAAGCGCATATCAGCGGGGGCAAGCAAAGAGTGCCTTATGTTCACCTTCGAGATCATTAAGCGGTTGCACAAAAACGAAGACCAGCCACACAAGTTTTCGCAAAGCCCAAGGGCGAGTTCGCAACCAGACCTCTTCAGCTAGAGGCTGTATTTACCACCGCGACCAAGGTAAAAATCCTGCGGCCGCTTCTACATCAGAACTGTACAACATTTCAAGATACGTTTGTCCACATGGTCGTCTCTAAAAGCTCTAAGAGGTCGCACAAAAATGAACACCAGCCGGACTTTTGAGAAGCCATAGCACGAAGTTTGCAACCAAGCCCCTTCAGCTAGGGGCGCTTTTGACCCCAAGCCAAATCAGTGTCAAAATTCTAGAGATTTCGTGCAAGCGAAGGGTGCCCAAATGTTTGTCTCTAGAAGCTCTGAGCGGTCGCAGAAAAGTAAAAATCAGCCAGACCTTCACAAAGCCCTATGCTCAGGCCTATGCTCAGGAGTAGTTCCGGGAGAGACAGATCGCTTCCCCAAGGGGGCCTTGCCGCTCGTACTTCCAAAGCCAGCGCAACCGACGGCTCCTGAAAGCACAAGAGTCCTTTTTTTGTGACAGAAACGAGTGCCCAAAATAGTCAGAGAGCTTACCGCCGCTGCTTTGACGCTGGCCGGCCAGTCTGCAGGTCTCCCGGGGTCGGCGTCCTTGCTTGCGCGCTCTCCTCGCCCCGCGCCTGAGAGGCCAAGAGATTGCATATTCAGTGGTGAGCTTTGAGCGAGCATCAGCAACCGCGGCGTTCAGGAGCCATGTGTGAGGTAGGCTAGGCTCGCAGCCCACTTCAACTGGCCGACTTCGGAGTCTGGTAGAAGTGTGCCCCTCGTGAAGCCTCCATGGTCGTGCCAGGGCCTGTCTTGTGCGCACACCCATGCAAGTGAAGACCAGAACGCCTAGTGATCTTAGCAGAGAGTGCAGTAGAACCGGTCTTCTATGGAAAAGAGGTCCATAGGCTTACCTGGTCGGGCGTTGTGGGTCCTGGGCTTTGCCTTCCCAGCAGCTCCTGCTGTCTGGCCTCAGCTTCATCGCTGCAACAGCGAAAAGAGTCTGCAGAATTAGAGGGTCCGTCATACAGACTTAGGACTCTTTGCACGTGCAATCGATCCCTTAAAGAGTCCCACTGTGACGATCTCAAGCTCCTAGAGATTGATGCGGCAACTTCATGCACAATGCATGTCGTGAATGGATCCCAGCATAGGTGCTCACTGAGTTGGGGCGCCCAAAATGGGTTCAGGCGCGCTGCTTGTGCGAAGGCCTGCAGGGGCTTCGCTCCTAAGCTCAGAGACCTTGACGAGTCTCCTCCTCCTTCTCGGCGGTTCTGCCTCTGCGGACACCTATACACAAGCCCTTATCCCGTAAGTGGGATGATGTGATCCAGGCCCACGAGCTGACCAGCTTCGGGGCTGACAATCGGCACCTTGGGTTCTATACAGTCACTTCTTCAAGCTTGTGCAGATTGTCTAGGCCCTTATCCCGAATCACTACACGACTGCTGCCGTCAAAGTGCACCCCGGGTCCTAACCAGTCACTTCTTCAAGCCAGTGCAAATTGTCTGGGGGCTGATTCATCGAAAATATCCAGTGGGTGCCGTCAATCTGCACCACAGGTTCTCATGAACACTCGCTCCTTCAATTCAGTGCAGATTGTCTTGGCCCCAAGCCATCGACAACAATCAAGCTGAAGGACACTGGGCCCGGAGGGGTGCTTGCTCACATCGTGAAGAGGCGGCTGAGCGACCACTCCGGCCACGCCGAGACCAGGCGTTGGCGGGTCCCCTCCTGATGCTGGAGAACGGTCCCCATCGCTCGCTGGAAATCCCGGATTGCTCTCGATTTCGCCGATAATCAAGAGCTTTCTGCAAAAAGGGCGAGTGGACAAATGATTTTCACCAGCCATAAGCCCGGAGGTCCACTTGTCCACCTACACGACCATGAAATGAGAGCAGGCTAGCAAACTTTTACTTATTGTTTCTGGCATTTATACACGCTGGGTCAGTATCCAATCAAGTCTGCCACGGATGGAAAACAGTGGAGACCACACTTGAGTCCAGAGAATGACTCACCTATCAGGGCTCTGCTTTTGGGCGCTGGATCCCACCTGTAATCGCTCTGGTCCCATCCTTTGCAACCTGTGGTGAAAAGAAATGGTCATTGGATCTTGCATGACACCTGGAGGATTCACAAGCAGATTCAGCAAGAAGTTCGACAAAGATTCGAGCTTTACAAGCATTCCGAGGGTCAATGGGAGGCTGCGAAGAGAGAGTCTGGCAGATCGTCAAAGCAAGAGGCAAACTTTCCTACGGCACAGGAGGCCCACAAACCCTCACCACGATTGCCCTTAAGCTGTGATTCCTCATCAAGCGCCCGCACAAGCTCCGCCTCCAACTTGTGCACTTCACAGGTACGTGCCCACTCTGGGAAAGGGCACATGATTTTGTGATGAGCGCTCACATGCAGGATGCATGCTTGCTTATGGACAACGGCGGACAATGCCCACAGACTTTGTGTTCTCACATAGTTGGTGGCAAAACTATTGCGACCCAATGATAAGATGCAAAGGTCTAGTTATGCCCGCCGGCCCAACGGCTGTCGCACAGGGCTCACCTCCCCGGGTGCTGTCAATCTTGAAGCAGCCCGTGAGCTCGCGATGCATGCCACAGAAGTACTTGAGGCTGCCCCCATCCTTGACCCCGCGCATCGCAAAGGTCGCGGGGGCGCTGCATTCCCCGCACAGGAGACTGTGTGGAACTGAAGGTAAAGCAAAGAGTTGGGGTCAAAAACGACAACAGGTGAAGTCCTGGTTGACTCGTACAGGAGCTCTGGGAATCTTTACCGTTGCAGACTCGAGAGCCCTTTTGCTATTAACTACAACGTGCGAAAAAGTCTCAGGCATGGTCGGCAGTCAATCTGCACCAATTGACTATACATCGAAGCTTTAAGGTCCGTGCATTTTGACTCAAGTCTGCTATCAACTACAACGTGCCAAAAAGTCTTGGGTACAGTCGGCAGTCAATTCGCACCACTTGACTATACATCAGACCTCCAAAAGCGTGCATTTTGACTCGTTATCTCTGGACCCTCGCGCGGTGGGGTCGTCAGTCGATTTGCACCAATTGAGTATACATCAAAGCTTCAAAGCCCGTGCATTTTAAATGGTGTCTGCTATCCACGTGCCAGAAAGCCTCGGGCATCATGGCATGGTCGATTTGCACCAATCGACTACACATCATACCTCCAAAAGCGTGCATTTTGACTCGTTTTGACTCGTGTCTGCTATCGATTACAACGTGCCAAAAAGTCTCGGGCGTAAGCCAAAGTGCCCCAGACAAAGCTTACGGCTGACTCTCGCAAAGGGCCAATCAGGTGCTTCGATCAAAGTTGGCCTGATCAATGTGTCACTAATACCTTTGTCCCCTAAGAGGTAGCTGGCCAGCTCCTCCTTCGCTCTCCTCGCTTTCCTAGACGCGCCACCAGCTGGGGGTCGGGCCTCATTCGTGGCAGCTGGGCTCGCTGGCGCTGGGCTCGCGGTAGTCCTGCGCGCTCCATGGGAGGCGCTCGCTGGTTGCTGCAGCCCCTCCAGGTGGGCCTGCTTGATCGACGTCAGAACCTTCCCGAAGCCGTCTTGCAGGCCCGCATCTGGAGTGCTCGCCAGACCCTCCAGACCTGCCATAGCTGCACGCAGGCCCCCAACCCAAGCCGCCTTTGTCCAGAGAAGGCCGACGAGCCCGAGCTCCTTCTTGGCACGCCGGCACACGAGCCCCGCCACCTTCCGGAAGATGCGGTGGCCCCTCTTTGACTTCGTGAGGAAGCTTCGCAACGCGCTCGCCACAAAAGCTCTGATTGCAGACGTCGGAAGAGCATCGCTGCGAGATGCATTGGAAAGAAGAGCATCCTGCAGGAAAGTGCAGCAATACATCAGGAACCCCCACGGCCCTCTTCAATCCACAACAGACAGGGATTGGCTGAGAAGCACAGTCAAAATGCACCAGCAATCTTTACATCTGAGCTTGTAGAATGATGCATTCTGACTGAACCTTTCAATCACCCATGTGCGGCAGAAGCAGAGGCAGGAAAAGGCTGGGGGGCGCAGTCAAAATGCACAGTGAGTCTTTACACACAGCTTTTCATCAACGTGCAAATTGACTGCCTTCGTTTCTATCCAACGCAGAGGCACACAGGTGGGCCGACGGCTGAGAGATGCAGTCAAAATGCACTGTCAAACTAGACAATCAGCTTTTCCAAAACGTGCAGATTAACTGACTCGGTTCTCTCAACAACAGAGGCGCGCAGGATTGCCCCCGGCTGAGAGACGTAGTCAAAATGCACGGTCATACTAGACAATCAGCTTTTCCAAAAAGTGCAATTTGACTGCCTTCTTTCAATGCGTACTCTCAATCAACTGTACATTGGAGCGCAGGGACGGCGCGACTTGGGACGCAGTCAAAATGCACCAAAGTACTATACATCTGAGCTTCAAGGGCAGTGCAAATTGACTGCCTTCTTGCGGTCAATCACACAAAGCGCAGAGTCGGGGGCACGGCCAAGACGCAGTCAAAAGGCACCACAGTACTATACATATGAGCTTCAAGGGCAGTGCAAAATGACTGCCTTCTTGCAATCAATCACAAGTGGCGCAGTTTACAACCATCCATGACAAGGGTAACTTTGGACTCATTTTTGCGCTTTAACAGGGCAGCTCTTCACCTGAACCAGCGGCCTCTCGATGCCCACGTTAAATGCAGGCAAGTCCGGTTGCACCTCAGCATGCGCAACCGAATATGCAAGGCCGTCCAAACTTCCTGGCGCCTGCAGCACAGAGAAGGCATGAAATGAGTTCTTTCCGTCCAAACAGCGGGACACGTCTCTCAATCAACTGTACATTGGAGCGCGGGCCCGGGCGCGACTTGGGGTGCAGTCAAAAGGCACCAGGGTACTAAACGTCTGAACTTTGAAGGCAGTGCAAATTGACTGCCTTCTTGCGATCAATCACAACAAGCGCAGAAACAGGGACACGACTAGAAACGCAGTCAAAATGCATGAATCATCTAGACATTGAGCTCTTTTGAAACGAGCAAACTGACTGACTTGACGGATTCTGTCAACTACAGTGGGTCCTGACGACGACTATAAAAACTCTCATTCACGTGCTGTCCAACCCTCGATCTGTTGAGGAACTCCAGTGGCGCAGCCCGATCAGGACGCGCCTGCCTGGATTCTGGAACTTTCTGCCCCACCAGAACGCGCATGTCAGAGAACCCCCCTCAGAAAACGTGCAGACTGAGTGAAGGTTTGCCCACAGCCGGAGACGTAGTCAAAATGCCCATTCGGTCTTGGACAAAAGCCTTTTCTTAAACGTGCAGATTGACTGAATCACTTCTACAACCACAGAGGGAGCAAAGCGGCGGCCACGGCGGATGAGGGGCGCAATCAAATGTTGTGCATACAATCAGCTTTTTGAAGCGTGCCTACTGACTGACTTGGTTGTAGCAACCAAAGCCCCCACTCACTTGCATCTTGGCGTATGGTGAGTCGCCGCTCTCCGCCACTCTGCCGTTTGCTTGGTTGACTTCTCTTCAGGTGACCTTGGGCTGGTCAATCACGCTCGAAGCCTCAAACAAAATCATGGTCTGCCAAGTCAATGCATGGAACGTTGCGTCAGTGCCTCGCAACACGTTTTCAACGCCTTGCAGCCATGCAATCAGCGTTTTTCGCAAACAAGACCCACCAAGTCCACACCCGGCAAGAAACTTCCACTGCGGGCTGCAAAAGAGCCCTGACCTTGACCCTGAAACACTGGCCTCTCAATTGGTCCCCCAGCAAAAAGCTCCCTTCTTTGGGTCTAATTTGAAACTCCAAACGCATGCATGCAGATCAGCCCCCTCCTTGAATTTTTTTAAAGCCGCAGGAGGCAAAAGCTGAAATCAACCCTAGGCACAAGTTTTGCAACAGAGGGGTGTCGATTACCGCGGACTCCTGCCAATATCAGCAAAACCAGAACGCCCGCTAAGATCAGCGGAACCCCGCTGGAATAGCATTCCAGGTCCCCCGCTGTTCAGCAGACCAGCACGCCCGCTGACTTGAGCCAAACCCCCACTAATTTATCGTTCTAAACCCCCGGCTGTTAAGCGGACCAGAACGCCCGCTGAGCTCAGTGTATGCCCGCTGATTTCAGCAGACGCCCGCCGATTCCCAGGACTTGAACGCCATGAAAGCAGGCTCATTTAGGTTGATTTCCAGGCCACTAAGGGGTACAGCTCAAAAGCAAGCGCCAGATTATCTCCCTAGCTGCCTGGACCTCAACGTGCACGAGAAGTAGACTCACCTTATCTTTGCCGAGACCCTGGTCCCCTCTGGCCCGCCTCTTTCTCTTCAAGTTCTGTTTCTCTAGATTGCGACCTCTGAAGATGTTGAGACTCCGCTTTGTGAGCTTGCCCAAGTGAGAACCAGCCACGCCACTTGGCCAAGGGGCGCCAAAACTCGTTGCTCTGCCAAGATGTCTCTGGAAACATCTCAAGATGTCAAGGATGCTTAGCCACGTGGTGGCCAGGGGCATCATGGACTTCTGAGGTTTGCTGGCAAGGAGCGCCAAGACATGCTGATTTCCGCCAAGGGCCGCCATGACTGCAGACATCCGCCAATGGCCGCCACTGCTCAACTTCTTCCCTGGCAACTCCGAGTCTTGGAAGCTCAGAGTGGAAGCTGGCAACTAGGCAGGGTTGCTCGCATCCAAGCTGAGAACGGTTTGCCAGCAGACCGCAACTGCGCGGTAAAGGTCGGGCCGGCAGCGCCCGGGGGAACTTCTTGAAGGTCCCATGCATTTCGGGTAGGAACCGACAGTACGAAGACCGAAAAAGTGCTGGGTATGGCCGGCCTGCCCGGGGGCGGTCTGACTTGGCGGCCTGTGAGTGGCCCAGACTTTATGCCACATGGCACACACCCCTTGGCTTGCTGAAATCCCGACCCCCTGGCCGGTGAATCGACCCGGGCGTCCTCAGCTGGTACATCGGATTTTTTTTTTTTTTTTTTCGGAAAATACCGTCTTGCACGTGCGGCTCATCAGCTGGAACTCGCAGACTAGCGTACGCCTCTAGGGCAGACAAACGGTGGGAAAAACCCACCTACAAACACAAATCAGGTGGTCAGTGTATCGATGCGGCGACGTTTGGTTCGATGGCCAGTTGTACCCCAATGCAACTCGGTTCGGGATCGGATACGGAAGGAGCGTCTTGGGGTAACAAGTTGAGGATGCATTGGAGGCAAGGGAGATTGCACTGGGCGCCCATCGCCCAAGCTGGTACATCGGATGGGCCTGTGAAGCCTGGCTTTCAGGGGGACGCAATCCCCCTGAAATGCAGCTTGGTCGAGCTCTCCGGCTAAGTTTGTAAAGGCTTGACCTGATCCTCCTCCAACGGTGGAGGTATGATTATCAGGGCGTTAGAGCATCCGCCTCAGGAGCAATGGCTAACCTTGTAGACCGCATCATGGGTCTGACTAGACTACATGACAAGGAAAAGGAAGCGGCGCTAGGTTTGCTGAGCAGCCCTTCCCAGGCAACGCTTGCTAGAAGGCTGTTGGAAGCTACTCAGGATGACGAGGAGTTGCTAAAAGAGGTTAGGACACTGCTCGCCTTCAGCCTGTACTACACGGCAAAGCAGGCTGCACAGCAGCTACCCACTCAGCAACCGCCACGGGACCCTGCCTCCCCCCGGCGCTCACACTCGAGAACAGTTCCCCGGCATTCAAGAACACCTGAAAAGGTCGTCGATTGGCTTGAGTTCGATGGTGAAGTCAGCACTTTTGTGCAGCGCCTGGATGATGAGTATTTCGTCATCCCAGCTCGCGATCTTGGAGTTACAGAGATGTCGGAGGCAGCCAAGGAAGGCCACGTGGAGGCCCCCCTTATGACATCGGTCGCCAAGGTCGCCAACCTGCTCGCCGAGTCGCTCGGGTCTCGTGCGAACCTGGTTTCTGGAGGATCGGGGCGGTCGTCATCGGACACTGATGAGGTGGTAGCTGCGAAGCCTCTCCTAGGGCAGGAGCGCACTGACCCGAGCTCTGCAGTTCTCGCTGACGTGGAGGCCAAGGGGGGTTGGCAGCTGCTGCTTCAGCGGGGGGACTCAGTCGTGGTGCTGATGAACGACGAAAGGGATCACAAGAAGGTGGCTGCAGCGGTGCAGCAGCTGTTTGGGGACATGATAGAGGACGAGGCAGCCTTCGGAGCCTTAACGACCTACTTTGCGACTGTGTTCCTCAGAAGACACCACAACGTGGCGGACAAGACGTTATTTTGCTCCCGGATCTTCTGGCAGGACGAGCAGTCCCCGACCGCCTTCGCGGCGTGGGCGACATTCCTGTACATCTGCTGGAGGGACAGGGATCTCAAGGGCGGCCTCAAACGGGAGAAAGTCCCGATCACGCCCGAAAAGGGCTATCCATACGAAGTCCGCCTGCCCCCGACAAAAAGGGGCAGAATGCGGTGAGCAGCCGTCCCTCGTGCTTGAAGAGCTGTCCTCTCCATGCAGTGGGTACTTGTTGCGCAGACATACCCCTTCGTGAGGCGAGCTTGGCCCGTGTCCGGGAGGCAATTGCATCCGCTTAAGCACTGTTCCACTGTGCCAGACTCGGACGCTCGCATGCGGACCACTCTGGCTTTTGAAGCTTCCAGTTTGCTGTCTGCGGTAGTGCCTTTGTGGCTTTCAATCTGAGTTCTAAGACACAAGAATGGAGGCAGAGCTCGATTGCTGGCATGCAATTTCTTCGCCACATACTGCAATCGAACCACCATTTACCAATATTCAATCGCAGGCAGCCCAAGATCTTTCACCAGAAGGCGACTAGCTCCAATACTCCGTCCAAGGGAAAGAGGAAACATGAGGCAGTGGATGCGGGGGAGGAGGTTGAGGGGGGGCAGGAGGCATTTGCGGGAGGGGAGGAGGTCGAACGGGGGCGAGAGCCAGAGGGGGGGGATGCCGAGGGGGGCCAGGAGCCGAGAGGGGAGGAAAGCCAACGGGGGGAGGACGACCGAGGAGGGAGGGAGTGGACGTAAGGGGGGCAGGAAGGACGGGGGTAAGGCCGGAGGCGGGACGAGGGGCCGGGGAAGGAGGCCGAAGTGGG